ATGGGGCACATGACAACCAGTTCATTGAGGCCTACAGAGGACATCTAGTACCATGGAGCACAGAACAAATAGGATAGCTCTCCCGGTCAAGTCTTCACAGTGAATTTGACGGTGAATATTTGACAAATTGAGACTCTAAGATGGACTATGTCAGAAAATGGACCTTGGAAGTATCCTCAGTACATGCTGCACATCAGGGACCCTGGGATGACACGGGTGTCTGTCCCCTATTCGCAGGTACTCATGCAGCTGGGTTCTTGGGAACATCCCTCTCCCATCTCTCCCCACTTTCCCCAGATACAGGTAGAAAAAAGATTAGAGGCAGTTGTGTTACCAACTTTCTTCTACTCCTCAACTCTCTCCACCCTAATTGGTGGTCCACATGGGCATGCATCCCTCTCAACTATGTAAAAATCATCAAAAATAAAATGAACTTACTATTTAAAAAAAATATATGGTTACCTAATATATGTTTACTGAAACAAGAAATGAGTGGCTGGGAGACCAGTGCAGTGGCATGTAGGTTAATCCTCTGCCCGTGGTGCTGGCATCCCACATGGGCACTAATTCTAGTCCCAGTTGCTCCACTTCTAAACTATTTCCCTGCTAATGGCCTGGGAAAGCGTCTGAGGGTCCCTGAAGAAACCCCTGGTTCCCAGCTTCAGACTGGTCCAGTTCTGGCTGTTGCAGCCACGGGAGAACAAAAAACAATTTCTCTCTCTGTCTCTGCTTTTCTCACTGAAACTCTTTCAAACAAAAATAAATCTTAAAAAGAAGAAGAAACGAGTGAATGAATGCCTGGGTGGAACATTTATCCTTTTAAATTCACGATTATTCCTTATTATTATAATTATTTATTTTACTTGACAGGCAGAGAGACAGAGATCTTCCATCTGTTGATTTACTCCTCCAGTGCCCACACCAGCCATGGCTGGGCGAGGCTGATACCAGGAACTCTATCTGGGTCTCCCACTTGAGTGACAGGAACCCTAAGACTTGAACCATCACCTGCTACCATCAGGGTGCTGGAAATAAAAGTGGAGCCAGAATTCAAACCCCAGGCACCATGATATGGGATATGGAGTACAACATCATAACTGCTATGCCCCTCCACGGAACTTTTAAATCCCATCTTTGCAGCGTGGTTCACAGCAGGGGATGGTCTGGGCTCGGGGAGCAGGATGGACCCTCAGGTCCTAAGTGTGTAGTACCCACTGTTCTTATGAGAACCAACCCTATCTCCATTGTCCCCACCCCCATCTGCCAAAGGCCCAGGGCTCTGTGCTGAACCTTCGAAGGTGTCTACTTGCTCCCTTTCTGGTGCTCCTGGATCAGCCCACCGGAGCGCCAGAGAACCCAGAGCTTTCCCAGGTTCCTGCATAAGCAGGTAGGAGGGTGGTGTTTAGTGCTCCCAGCTGGGCAGGGAAGGGGCTCAAGGAAGTTCGCTTGGACTGTCTCATCCAGAAGAGGAAACTGAGGCCCAGAAAGGAGAAGCACCCAGCCCCGGTCAGTAGGGCAGAGCTGGATGAGTTAGTTAAGAGCCAAAGCTACTTCTGCAAACAAGGTCCGATGGCCCAGAGATAATCAAAGCATGAAAGCAGGCCTGGGCGTCATCGCACTGGCAACACAGACCACTTCTCTGTTTCCCTTTTGGCAGGGCCCTGGGGAGAGCGACAGCTGAGTCACAGACAGGCACGCCTCGCCAAGGTGCCTTCCATGTCATCTTTGAAGGGGCTCCTTGGGAGTACAGGCAAGCAGGCTCAGGTCCGAAGCATTTGCTAACTTACAGCTGACAAGTGGCAGCATCTGGTTTTTGTACTCAGTTCTCGCTGACTCCAGCCCACGGTGGTGGGTATCCCTCTCGGGTCCTTGCTGCCTTCCTGACTTGGAACCCTCTTCCCAGGTCAGGTCTCAAATGAGCAACTGGGCTGTACCAGTCAGGTTTCAGTCTGGCATTGGCCTCATCAGGCTGCACCCTTACTTGATGACTCCCCCAAGCTACTTAGCAGCTACTTAACAGCAAGAACTTGGTCTAGCAACACAGGATGCCCTGGGCCTCCAGAGGGTCAACAAGTACTTGTCATATACATGCATGGACGGATGGATGGGTGGATGGATGGATGGGTGGATGGATGGATAAGTGGGCCTGGTGCTTAGCTACAAAACTACAATTCAGAAAAGCCTGGTTTGCAGGTGTTGTTGACATTGTAGTACCGGCCACACACATACAGAAGGCATCCCCTTAGCTCATTTAGGGGAACAGAGGATACTGTGGACCCAGGGGCTCTTCTGGAACCAGCTTACTTTGCAAAGCGTGTGGAAAACTCCCCCACAGACGGGAAACCCTCCCACCTGCTCCCCAGAATGCAACCTGCGGGAGAAAAACAGCCTGGGGTGACCTGACAGGGAAGGGGCGGATACCCAGAGGGGGCATTGTTTGCCTCTGTGTACAGCAACCAGAAACCACCGCAGCCAGCACTTCTCGGAGGCCACCCTCCACCCCAGCCCTCTCCGCACCCTTAATCTCCTAAACTGATTTGTCAGCAGCAGGAAGTGACATGACAGCTTTCCTCACCAAGGGGAAACTCCTCCGCGTTACCATGGCGATGGAGGCCACTGTAGGATCACAGATTTATATAATCTTAAAGGTGTATGCACCATGATGTCATCCTCAGAGGGGCCGGGGACAGGGAGGGAAGAGGATAATGCCAGGGGCCACCTTTCCCAGACAAATCCGCTGTAAATTGTAAACTGTTAAGGAAGGGAGAGGATGTGGGGACGGAGCGTGGAGGTTGGAAATGTCTTAAGGAAATCCTGGCTGTCGTGAACCCCCAGAGCAGCACCTAGTCCATACTTCTACCTGACCCTGCAGGTCCAGTGCACACCGATCATTTCACAAAGAAATAAGGTGGCCGGACAGCTGCCTGGGAGCTCCGGGCCAGCCAAGGGCTCTGACATGCCCGAGCCCATTTCTTCCACACAAGTGAAGCGGATTTTATTGTCTTCGTTCATGCAGGAGCAGACAGGCTCAGAGGGGGATACAGGACTTTCCCTCCCCTCGTTTTTCTCATGGTTCCCCACCCCCTCACACTGTCTGCTGGGCTGAACAAGAGCTTGATCTCAGCTTTCCTTCACACCTGGGTTCCCACCTCCGCAATGCCCTGGACTTGCTCTGTGACCTCAAGTGTGCTATGTCACCTCTCTGGACTTGGGCTTCCTGCTGTTGTTAAATGGGTGTTGCTGACACAGGTTAAATGCAAACGCTGGCAAAACCTTTTAGTTCAGAAACGCCACCTTAGCCCTAAAGCTGTCAGCTGTTACCACTACAGCATCCTTATTATATGATTTAAGTTGCCTTTACTTTGACTTGCACAAAAAAAAAACTGTAAACAATTTATCATTTTCAGTATCTTCCTTTTCATGAGATCTTAATAACTGTCCCAAGCAAGAAGAGTCCTGTGCCAAATGTGACACTGTTCGGAGGCCCTGGGCATAGCATATCCAACACGTTGGCAAAGAGGGTTACTCTCCCTGGCTCTCGGGGCTGGCGCGAGAGTGAGCGGATTAAGCTGGAGAAGTGAGTGAGGTTGTTTTCACTGGCTGATCCCTCAGGCAGTTGCTGTATTTTTCCATTGAATAGGTCACACTAGAGATTCATTTGGGTTCAGACAGGACCTGCCAAGCAGAAAGCAAAGGCCTCCTAAGCCCACAGGGAAGTGAGCCGTGGCACCTGCCACAGACAGCCGCCCTGGTACACTTCTACAAAGGGAGGCATTTGCAATAGTCAATTTCTTCTAAGGTGGAAATAAAAACATCAGGAATATGCCTGCCACAAGCTGGAAACAACCCAGCCAAGAAAGTGAGCTTGCCAGCCCAGGATAAATGCTTAGAACTCAGGACACGGGGACCTTTATGGTCCCAGGAGTACAAAGTCAAGGACACCAAGTGTGTGTCAGGACCTGGAACAGGCAATGGGCCAGGAGAGTATTACTAGCTAACTTGAGGAGTAATTTCCCTCTTTCCACCTCCCACCAAACTGAATCCAGGTTAAAGGGGACCTTTAATAAGCCAAAGGAGTTTGGCTGTTATTTAATTCAGCATTATAGATTAAGTTATGCATTCATACTTAATTATACCTTTCTCTGCCTGGCAAGAGACAAGTTAAAAACTTCAGAATCTTGCCCCAAACCAAGTCAAGCTTCATCATCCACCTGCTGCCTCAAAATTGTGAGCTCAGATGAAGCAAGAGGGCTGAAGCAGGAAGCTGCTGCCCGGAATGCTGAGTCTATTCAATGTGGGCATCCACATTGTCCCAAACCCCTCTCGGTGGTTCAGTTCAGGATGTGAGCCTGGCAGGTGATTTCTGTATACTGCAATTGCTTACAGTACCGGGATTTTTATTTATTTATTTATTTATTTATTGCCTCTAGATAGACTATTTTCACAGAAACAAGGATCTGAACAAGTATGGTGAGCACAGGAATTAAATAATAAAATCTAAAGCTCCAAGAACTAGGCAATAAGACAGGCAACAGGTTCTGATTCTCTCACTACGCTGACTCCCAGCATCATCTGTAAAGACGTGGCTGGGCAGGTGGCGCTTGCCGCCTCCCAAGACAGAAACGCCTGCACCTATGTCAAGTGCTTAGGAAACTTTTTTCATGCACATCTGGCACAGTCTGAGAGTAGAGGGAGCAGAAGGCAGCCAGGTAAGATGGCTCTGGGGACACCTGGGCACCCCAGGTGACAGCATGGTTAGAAAGGGGACAGGTGGGCACTCGGACCCTCTCGCTTAGACCTGGGCTGCAGCATCTGATGTTTCACGGTAGGTAGATCTCTCACCTGCCTCCCTTAGAGCACAGCTCCCACTCGGGCCACCCAGGGGGACAGGATCAGATGCCAACACACAGATTTTGAGGGCCCTCACCCCAGTTCTTTCCCCATTCCACTGGCAGGCAAGGAGTTGGATGTGGTCCCCAAAGGAAATAAGAGCATTGCAATTTCAATAGAAATGCCATAATTTATTCTGTTGTATAAAAAAGTCATCCTTAAGTAACAAAATGTCTTCTTAGAAGAAGAAATATATTATTTCAGGTCATAAATAATCGGCAAAACATACAACTGTGGGTAACTAAAAAACAAACAAACAAAAACCCAAACACTGGTGCTTTCTATCAGTGCTGAACAGACTCTCCGCTGGGTCTATATGTACAAAGACGGTACAGTACTCAAAACACAAAAATTGAGGTATTTGGTTCTTCTAGTAGACACGGACAGCTGTGAAGGCGGACCACCTACACAAAAATAAATAAGGTATACGTCTTCAGGAATGGTAATACTGGTAGGTATGTCAAGCATGATTTCTACAAAAACAAGAAAAAACAAAAAACACCAGGGGCAAGTCAAAAAGAGCCCCACTCACACCCAGTCCTTTGCTTTTGCCCTGTGTGGTCAGCAGGACTTGACGCACCCACTCCCTATCGGTCCAAGTGCCGAGGGCACGGCCACGGCTGTGTAGAGGAGCTCAGTGGACGATGTAGGGTGAAATGAAAATAAATAAGGACCAGCCCCCGTGAGCCACCTCCCCGGAGTTATTGCCTTTCTCCTCCCCAGGAGGAGAGCCTAGAGTCCCGGGCAGATGGGAGGTGGATGTAAATGCACGGATGGGAATGTGGGCGTGGCACTCCCTCACCCTGCCCCCCCAGCCTCTCAGCAGCTGGGAGAGGTGGTGATGGGACTCTGCAGGTAGCTCAGGGCACTGTTCGTGGGGTGCACTGGGATGGAGACGGGGAAGTTGAAGACGGTGGTGGTGGTGGAGGCGCCTCGGTCGAGCACAGCCATGGCGGGGCTGCCGGCCTCAGCCGAGCAGTGTGGGGCCAGCACCTGGGACTCGAACTGCAGCAGCTGGCCCATGAAACTGAAGTTGGGGGAGATGATGCTCCGTCTCTGCTTCACAAACTCGAAGGCCTCGTCCAGCCTGACCCGGTTAGTCCTCATGAGGTAAGCAAGGCAGATGGTGGCCGAGCGGGAGATGCCCGCCTGGCAGTGCACAAACACTCTCCCTCCTGCGTTCTTGATGGAGTCTGGAAGGGAAAAAAGATAATGTGGCGGGTTACTGGAGAGTTCAAGTCCAGGCAGAGAGTGGGAAAGAACCCACAGCACACAGAGATGGCCAACGGCACCTTATGCCACTGCCAGGGACGTGGCACTGGGCAAAGGACAGCCAGGTGGTTTAAACCCAGCTGATGGTGGAATCAACGCTGAGCAGACTGATTTCTGGGCAAGATAACTTCTTGCACCTCAGTTTGCTAACCTGCTCGGCCGGACACATTTTGCTAGGGGGAAGATGCACACACGAGTTGGACAATGAATGTCTTGGAAGGCTCAGAGAATACGAGGCCAGTTCCGGCCACTTAGGCTAAGTGGCTAAACCACAAGGGAGAGGCGCAAGTCCCAGGCTATGCAGTTCTGCTTACCTATGAAGTCAATGGCCTCGTTGAACCACGAGCTGATGTCCGCCTTGTGGTTGTCCTCCACGGGGATGCTCTTGTACTGATAGTGACCCTCAAAGTGGTTAGGGCAATTGGCAGAGACATTGATCAAGGCGGTGATACCCAAGGCATCCAGCATGTCCTTGCGGGAAGCGTGGTAGGCACTGCCCAGGTACAGAAAGGGCAAGATCTCCACTGGGCCACCCTGAAAAACAGAAACAACCAACGCTCATCAGGCTGGCGCCATGGCAACAGCAACACCCACCAGAACTCCCCAGTGAGCTGGGGAAACTTTTTGGTCCTGCTTACTATTGCAGTATAAATAAACGGGGCACCCAGGCCATCTGCCTTGGCAGGGCCCACAAGTTCACCACTATTTCTGCAGTGCCATCCATCAGAAACTGGGCCATCAGACCACTTCAGGGTGGAATAAATAAGATCCTTAAGTCCCCAGTTATAAATAAAGCTGCAGATCACTTTCTATATCCTGGCTGCGGGCAGTCTGGGCCAGGCCCCGCTGTCTTTGGCTTCTCCTCTCTGGCACCGGCCGCCACTGACCTGATCGTAGAGCGGGGTGCTGCAAGAGCTGCATCCGGATTCCGTGTTGTCGGGGACACTCGCCGTCAGGGGAAGGCTGAGCCCCATGGGGGTAGACTGTTTGCTGCACAGCTCTGGGCAGGAAGCTGAAAACGCTTCATAACCTCCTAGGAACACAGAGACAAGGGTTTGTGAACATCCAGTACCCTTCACGCAACGCCCCCCGACCCACGAGGTGCTACGAGTTCACCTCGCAAAGCCCCCAAACAAGCCTTTGTTCCCGGGGCTCAGACAAAGCCCATGACAAGTCTCCGGCGCTCACGCGCTCCACACCACCAGCACCATAACCAGGAGCCCAAGACCCAGGGTCCCTAGTAGCACCAAACTGCAACGGGGACATACCTTGGAGGAAAAAGACGTGCGCGGCGCGCGCCTCGCGGCAGAGCGCACCGGCCGCCAGAGCCAGGGTGCCGTCGCGTTTGGCGCCATCCAGGGCGGCGCTGCGCTCGTCCAGCAACACCACGGCGTGGTAGGACCCGGCCAGCAGCCGGCCGCGCAGTTCGGCGTTGGGCACGATGTGCTCCAGGCCCATGGCGCCCTTGGCCCGACGTCGCACGATGGTGCTGAAGCGCACGTTGACCGAGCCGGCTATGTGGCCCGCGTTGAAGGCGAAGAAGGAGCGGCAGTCCAACAGCAGGCACTGCGCCGCGCGCTCCCGCAGCAGCGCCTGCAGGCCCCCGGCGTCCAGGATGCCCACCTCCATGACCATGGCCGACCTCAGAGCCCCCAGCGTGCACGTCGTTCCGGTGCTCTTTGTCTGTGCTCGGGCGCCCAAGGCAAGGGCGGCGGCGGTGGCTTTCAAGGAAAAAGTCCGACCCTGAGTCTCTGTGTGCGTGAAACAAAAACACTGCTCTTTGGAACGAGCGAGGGGCGTCACGCGGGACTGCAGCCACCGGAGCTTTCTGGCCGCTCCTTGGGGCTGTCCTTTCTCCAGCAAGCGTCTCTTCAACCAGTGAGTCGTCCCTTCGCGGCGAGCTCGGCCCGCGGGGCAGCGCGGTTATATGCAAGCTCTCCGGGGAGGCGGGACGGGGCGGGACGCAGCCGGAGCGCGTTCAGGGCGTGGGGGGAAGGGGTTTGTTTGTTTGAATGGCGGCCACGTGACCTGGAGGTGACGTCACCCGCCCAGCCCGGCCCGGCGCCACCGAAGCCAGAGGCAAAGACGTCATCGGCCTTGGAGCCGGGGTCCGCTGGCCACGAGCCGGCCCCCGCCCTTGCTGGCCGGGCTGCTTTCCTCCCCCCTAGAGACCCGGCGGACCCCGCTCCCCGGCGTCCCGCGGGAGGCTGAGGGAGAGAGACGCCAGGCGCCACCTGCCTCGGCCCTCGCCCCCCGCTCTCCTCACTTCCAAGCCCCCTCGGCCGCCCAGCCCTGGCAGGAAGGGGCGCCCCTTTGAACCCACTCATGCGCCTCGCCTCCTCTGCTCGGTAACCGGCGCAGCCAGCCGCCGGGGATCCTGAGGAGAAGCCACTCGGACACCCCCGGGCCGTTCCGCCTGCGGGGAAGGTGGGGGGCTGAGGAGAGGGTCCAGAGGGGCTTCCAGTGTGGGCCGCCCTGGGGAAGTGAACGACTGTCCACAGAAATGGCGTCTCCAAGGAGAATGGGTCAATGAACAGCTTCAGGAAAATATCTTCCTGGTTCCAGACTTTCTCTCATGTTATCTGAGAGGACATTTTTGTTTACATTGCACAAGGAAAATGGCTTCCAAAGAAACTCCTATGGGACAAAAGTCTCTTCTAAGTCACTTGCAAGGCAGGTCGCGGGGCCGGGTGAGAAGATGGGGGTCGTGGATAAGGAGGGTCCTGCTTTGGGGAGGGGATGATGGGGCGATTGCCGCGCGACCCCACGGCGCCCCCCACGGGTCACCCGAGTCGCAGCTTCGAGCCTGCGGGGAGGGGTGGAGGTGGCCCTCGCTTAGCCCCACGAATGCGTACTTGGTGGTCTTGAACTGAAAACACAACCCCGGGACGCGCGCGCACATACACACACACACACACACACACACACACACACACACACACACACACACGCCTTGGTGACGGGCCCCCTCCAGGCAGCAGAGCCGCCACCACGGCGACAACGACGACGACGTGTTAGGTCCACAAACAAACCTTACACCACTGGCCCCGGGTACAGTCAGGAACATTCTGCGGTTTCTTCCCCTTCCCCTGGGGGGAGGGGGTTTTAACACCACCCTGAGTCGTCGTTCTGTGGATTCTACGATCAGAGACAACTTCCACATTTGCCTCACTGGACTTGGCCAAACTTTCTGCATAGATTCTTCTAGAAAAGTTCAGGGCACTGAATGCTTTTGCTCGTGTCTTCAAGGATTTTTTTTTTTTTTTCGTGCTTTCGTTGCCATGTTGGTCCAAGACCACAGCAGAAAAAAAAAAAAAGTCCTCAGATGGTAGCCACATCCTCTTTGTATCTTGAAAACGAAGAAGAGAAAGAAGAAAAAAAAAATTGAATTCTCTATTTGTTTATCCTACTCCTTCAGCTGAGGAACCCAACATATTTTTGCGTTGAATCACAGCATATTAGGGCTGCTGACTTTTCTCCACATACCAACTTGAACTGTCCCAATTTTTTTTTAACCAAGAACATTCATTATACCTTCCTCAGCCCAACTTTTTCAAACAAGAACCCTTTTTTATACAAATATCACAGTGGTCGTGACACAGTCCAGCACTGTATTTGACGGTGAGCTTAGGCTGTTAAATGTTTCTTCAATCCCTTGCTGGAAAGAGAATAAGGAAAACAGACTTGAACCCCAAGAGCATTTTGCTCCTGGGTGATCAGAGGTGATTCTAAACCCAACTGAGACTTGGAGCCCATATCTAGACAACAGGTGCCCACGAGCTGACTTGAGGCCCAAACGAGAGCTGGTGGGTGTGGGGAACCAGCCCGCTGTACTCCCTCTCATAAGTCACTCACTAGCTTGGTTTTCCCTTTCCCAGCAGGGCAGTTGTTATATCATCCTCAAACCGCTGTGTACTTCAGGATCTGGCATCGGAAGCTGCCAGAAGGCCACTGCAAGCAGCAGCATATGGGAGACTTCCATAGATGCGAGTGGGACAGAAGTCAGCCAGGGGTAACGGGAGAGCAGCTCCCGCAGTGGCTCCCATGCCCACAGCTGGGTGAGAGAGGGGTCGCCACCCATGCTTCCACCCCAGGCTGTGGACATGCTGCCCCTAGGCCAGGGGTGGAACTAAGCCCAGAGGCTCCACATCACCAGGTCTACAGTAACTGCAGAGAGAGCCAAGGGCTGGCATTGTGAGCCCGGCCGACAGAAGGCTATGAAGTAAGGTAAATCAGCCCGTGTTAACTCAGGAGAGAGAAATGAGTCTTTGCTGAGCTGTGGCCCTTCTTGCTTCTCACTGTGCTGAGAGACCATCCTAGAGGCAGTGGGAAGGATCTAGGGCTGTGCAAGCCCCCAGGAACTGGAGGGAGCTGCAGTGTGTAGCCTTGCATAGATTTCCTTTCCCTGCGCCGAGCCCTCCATCTCACCTTCCGGTAATGGATAATCATAACCTTCGCCTGCCAAGGCTGTGAGGCCACGGTTGGCACCAGCCCACAATCCTCTGCCTAACCCTGCTCTCAACGTTGACTTCATATCCGTCCTGGCAGAGCGCGGGTCATGAGAAAGCAGGGTGGCGCTGCCGCTGGTGGCAGTCAGTGGCCCTGGTTCCCCCACGGGCCCTGTGCTCTTGGGCAAACGGGCCATCATTTCAGAGCCTGTTTCCTCCTGTCCATCGAGAGCTGTGTGAAACGTTGTGAGAAAGGACCTGGGGCGGCTCGCTCCCGGATGGACTGCTCTCAGGAGCCCTGTTTGCAAGTCCCCAGTTATCTTACTGTCTTTTGCTCAGCATCCTTCTGTGATTCTCCATTTCCCACCAAGCCAAGGACCCCCCACTCCTGGGCCTCTCACAGTCTAATGTCTCCGTCATGCTCCGAGAGAACTTGGTGGGATATGTGACCCCTTCTTGCCCTCACGCTGTTGCTCGCCACCAAAATGGCATCCCCTCTGAGCTCTGCTAATCCTCTCCATCCTGCAAGACCCAGTGAGGCTCCTGTCTCAGGAAGCCTCCTGTGGCTTCTTCCAAGTCAGTCTTTGACTTGCCCCAGGTTGCAAGTTTGTAAGCTGAAGGGCAGGGATTTTGTCTCATCTTTAGCTCTCCACCCTTCCACCTTTGATCCAGTCCCTGGCCCATAGTAGGGCCACACTTTGTGAAATGAATGCTGAAAAGTCTCAGCAGTCAGCATGGAGTGATGAATGTTGGCAGATCAATTTCCGTTGGGCCACAGCCACGTTCTGCGGCTGCTTTGTGAGAAGAGAGGGTAGAGACTGTAGGGTTCCTGATGCCTGAAATACTCATCTTTGTCCCTCTACAGGAAGCATTTGCTGATGAAAGTTCTGGACCGGAAAGCTCTCTAGAACAATGCGCGGCACAAACTAAGTGTTCAGCAAATGATTTTGCATTTGTTGAACAGACAGATATTTACAAAATCTTCCTCTGGGACATACTGAAAAGCAGTCATTGCTTCCAGTGTGTGTTTTGTTGTGTCATAAGACATACTCTTCGTGTTTGAGCCTTTTTCAAAGTAGAGTATGACAGAATCAGAGATCAGTGTGGCTAACTGGCATGGTAATTGACAGCAGTTGTTTGTCACCATGGTGTATGCATTAATCAGGAGACCATGGGGTTAATGGCATTTTAGATCCAGTAAAAATAAATAAATAAATAGACAGTAAAGTTTAAAAAAAAAAAAAAGAATTAAAATGCTGCAGTCATTCCTTCAATGGTAGACAACAAACTTGCTGGGGAACAAGCAATGGTTGGGGGCTAGGCACCAGTGTATACACATGCTGGAAAGCCAGCACACGTACTCTCAAAGGCTGGGAAAGCTGCCGGAGGAGGGGACAGCCGCCTGGACGTATAATAATATAGGATAGAAGTGGCTGGGGATTCCGTGCCTTGGCTGCGCGTAGCTGTGCCAACATCTCTGTCTCTGCAGATTTCATTTCCTTTGGAGGAAGAGTGGGAATCATAGCGTGATCAGTACACATTGTATATGTTCAAGAATTACCACCCTCTACCCTGTAGATAGGTTGGATAGGTTGGTGGTCAAGTGTGAAGCAAAAAAAAGAAAAAAAAAAAAAAAGCTTATTCTCAAGTGTTTAGAGCTAGCAATGCTAGCTAACCTGGTTGGATCATCATTCACTGAATTGAAGTATAGAATTGTTACGTGTTTTATTAGTACATACAATTAAAAATGGTAATGATAATGAAACGAAATGGTGTTCATACAAGCAAAAAAAAGTAAGGAAGAAAGGATAGAGAAAGGGCCCGGCGGTGTGGCCTAGTGGCTAAAGTCCTCGCCTTGAACACACCAGGATCCCATATGGGTGCGGGTTCTAATCCCGGCAGCTCCACTTCCCATCCAGCTCCCTGCTTGTGGCCTGGGAAAGCAGTTGAGGACGGCCCAAAGCTTTGGGACCCTGCACCCATGGGGAGACCCAGAAGAGGCTCCTGGTTCCCGGCTTCGGATCGGCACAGCACTGGCCATTGTGATCACTTGGGGAGTGAATCATCGGACAGAAGATCTTCCTCTCTGTCTCTCCTCCTCTCTGTATATCTGACTTTGTAATAAGAATAAATAAATCTTTACTTGAAAAAATAATGGTTACAGTCATCGTATCTGCAGACCAGTGTTTTCAGCATGGTTTGGTGTGGGGATTGTAAGCCCTTCAAGATGCGTTGAGAAGAGCGATGTGTTTTTATGTGTCTGCCACCAGCCTGGGACAGAGCGACGGTTTCTTGCCCGCCTTGGTGCCCAGCACAAGCTTCAGGGAAGAGACCAGGAGCAGTAGTGCCCCCCATGACTCACACCAGCCTGATCCACACTCTCAGCCTCCACCAGACAGCCCCCCAGCAGCCACGCCCCAGCTGCTAGGGTAACTGCCAGCCTG